AAGAGCGGCTTTAGGGGTGATCCCGGATCGGACACGTCACGCGGAGTGCAGCGCTGAGGTCAGGCACTCCGGGAGGCGTTGGACGGAGGATTGGCCAATACGCAAGACCTCGTCCAGTGACCTCAGCCTGGGAGGTAATGAATCCTCGGGGTGCACGCCTCCGGACGGCTTATCGCTCGGAATAAGAGCAAGCATGTTGCTTCCACCAACGTTCCTCCAGGGCCCGCGGTATGTACTAACCTTCATCGAGATATACCATATCTTGGTGTCCAAGAAAAAGAAAATATTCTGCCGCACAGATTCTGTGTATGAAAAGGCCGCGAACCGCAATCTTTCCCTGACGGCTTGAGAGCTATATCATACATTTTCATCAATGATAACTCCTTCGCATGTTGTTTTCCTTTCCTTGCGCAGCTCGAATCGAATACTAGGAATCGTCAATACCAGATGCCACAACCGCGTATGCACCGTCCCTTTGATCAGCCTCGGGAGCTGCGTTCTACAGTCGAGCACAGAATGGGAAATTTTCGTGGACAGTTTTTCCTCCTCGCTCTCCCCAACGAACACGCCACTATACTGCGCATGCTCGCCGCTAGCCTTGTCCGCAGAGTTCCAGATATCCTAGCGGGTTTCGGAGAACGTTGCAGGTCCGCGGAAACGATCTACGAAGGCTTCCTAATGTATCCGCTCGATGCATCCCCCAACATTGATAAATAATAATAAGAATCATCATTTATTTGCATTTTTTCATTACAAAACGAAAAAAGGTGGAAAAGAGGGAAAAAAGCTAATATTGCAGCTTGACGAGGCCCTAGTTCCCACACACACCTTGGCGGAAAAGCAGCGTAAAATAAAAATACAGGACCCAAGCAATCAAATATGCTCCAGCACACCACTCCAATTGTTATACTTAGAAAGATAACTAAAAAACATATGCCACTCAGAAACCATTTCAGAACTCATGCGTGACACTATACGGTATCATATAGAAAATGGGGTTGTAGTAGTTTGTCCGCTAACATTCGGTTTGACTTTCCAAATGTACACGCATCATTTGCTTCAAGTTCATTTAGTAAAGATGGCAACACGTACTTTAATCATGTAAAACCATAATTAGTACGGGGTGTTGAAACATGCAGGTCTCGCCATGGCGGGTAACGTATTTACGATCTAACTTAGTTAAACATGACAATGCAGATATGAAAAAAAAAAAAAAAAAACTATTGTCGTGTTTTAAGGCTACATTATCAGTCACAAACAACCGAAACCTGTGCAGCCGTTCAATAGGAATTACACGATGCTTGAAAAAGAGTTCCTTAGAAGGATGCAAAGAAGAAACATTTGAAACAATTCCAATAGCCCTCTTTTGGGTTAGTAGTAGTCTTGTTAAGTTATATTTTGTAGTTTGGCTCCAAAGTAAATGACAATATAAATAGTGAGTATAAACCAAAGAGTAATATAAAAGCAATTTTATACTAGTTCGAAAGACATGACGGTTTCTACAAAGGAGACCAACAGATTTGCTAGCTTTTGTATGGACATATTCAACGTGCTCATTCCATGATAATAATCCAGTGAAAAGTACACCCAGTGTTTTAACCGACTTTACCACCTCTAGTGTTAATGAGCGTAACGTTATTTAAAACGAATAAGATATTCGTCTACTTCGAGGTCGAAATAGCACACATTTAGTCTTTTCAAAATTTATTTTTAGTCCATTTACTTTGGTCCACGAGTCAATTTTTGAAAGAACTCCTATTGCTTTCCTTTCTATATCATCTGCTGAGCCGCCTTTAATAAAAATAGTCCTATCATCGGCATAAGACACAAGGTTTGCATGCGGTACGCAATTTTCAATGTCATTTATGAAGATTATAAGCAAGAGTGGCTTGAGCACACTAGCTTGAGGTACACCAGTTCTCAGTTTTTGAATGGTTGATATAATTATTATTATTAACGAACTGCATACGGTACTGTAGGTATGACTTAAATAGGTCTAGAGGCGTTCCACGTATACCGTAATTTTCTAGCTTCATAAACAAAATTTTGTGGTTAATTAAATCGAACGCTTTGGGGAAGTCCATGTATACACCCATGATGAGTTCTTTATTCTCAAAACATTCTATCATTTGTTGCTTTTGTACTAACAGTGCTGATTCAGTTGAGCGATGTTTTCGGAAACCGTGCTGACTATTAGAAATTATTGAAAATTTTTCTAGCTAAATATGAAGTCTTTTATGCATGATTTTCTCAAGGCCTTTAGAAAAAATGAATAAAAGAGAAATAGGTCTGTAGTTTTTAAACGTATTCTTGCCCCCCCCCCCCCCCCCCCCTTTAAACAAAGCGACAACCTTAGCACACTGCATTGCTTTAGGAAAAATACCAGAAGAAAATGACAGATTAAATATATACGTTAAAACCGCGGTACCACTATGTCGAGAGTATGCTTAATCACTTTGATGTTAAGATCGTCTACATCTTGACTCCTGGAGTTCTTCAAGTTTTTAAAAACTGCAAACACTTCACCCTCATCAGTAGGGCTCATAAAAAAAGGGTTTTCGAAATTACGCTCAGGAGGTGTAGCTATATCACTTGATTGGCTAACAAAATAATTCAATGCATTCGAAGCACAGCCGGATAAATGGTCGTCTCCGCAGCTTATATTATCTAATATTTGACGCTCGTGGGTGAGGACGCAAGAACTTATTTACCCTTTCCCAGAGTATGCGCGAATTTTTATTATCATCTCTTGTAAAGAGGGTTGTGTAGAATGCGGACTTCGCGCGTATTAACCGGTTAGTTGGTTACGATACCTTTTGAAGGCCCTTAGGTCTTCAGAGTCTCTTGTATTTAAAAAGCGCTGGTATATGCCGGTTTTCTTATGCACTTTGTGCAACAACTTTTTCGTCATCCACGGCTTGCGCAATTTTTTTACAGAGTTTTACGGTTCAATAAAGAAAACTATAATTGTATACAGCTTTTTAAGTGTTCGTAAATGTTCGATGAGTTGAGCAATTTGATATATGGACCAGGAGGCGGGTGTAACAACCACGGATACACCCTTTTCCTCCCAGGGTGTATTCGGCTACCTAAAGTCGGGGTCACACTGCTTATACATCATAAAAAAGGACATACAGATCCGAACGCGAGTCACCGCGTGATCCGGTGACTCGCGGTTCATCACTGGTTCATCACTGATCAGCATCGTTGTTATGTAGGGGGGCTGAGTGGATTGGACGTATGCGTGCGGCGGAACCATTTTAGTTGGGCGGCGACTTGCGCCACCTAACCAGTGACTTCAACATAGTTAAGTGAGTTCCCACCAGCCTAAAAAAAAAAAAAATGCTTTTGCGATATGAGGAAAAAAAAAAAGAAAGAATAACCTGCGGCGCAATAAAGATATTTGTACCAAATAAAAAATGAATTTATTTTATTTAAATTAGATATATTTGATTTATGTAACTTTATCTTTCATATTTTTTTAGATATAGCAAATTCATTATCAGTTGTTTCAATGAAACTGAAACAAAAATTCTTCTAAATTAAATAAAAAAAGATATTAAATTGTGCTTTAAACGTTAGTAAGTATACTTTAAGTGCCTTAACGCATTAACATACCCAAATGTGAGCAACTTGAGATAAATATTGAAATCTTGGGGAAAATACTTTCATCTTATCTAGGTTCGAGGATAACCCATGCCACACAAACGATCTCACAGAGCAGAGCACTTTCATCCTGAAATGCTGCCTACCCATGGAGTCAGAAAGCTCAACGCATCTTGTCGGTCGGTCAAAATCGTCCTTGTCAGAATCATCCGAACGCCGCAGGTTGGAAACGCACCGCACCAGAGAAGCGATGACAACACTGAAGCGGTCGAAGGAAAGAAGAGAGCCGGACACTGCTCCTCCATTAGCCTTTACAGAGAAAACACACACAAAAAAAGTAAACATCCTGATCGGTGTTAACCTCAAACATGGAGCGCTTTTTTTTTTTCTTTTTTTCTCCACCTTGACAATAATTTCTCCTCCGATTTAAGTCAAAAATCAGTGAATTCATCAAAAGTATAACTTTATTGGGGGAGACTTCAAATCTGAATAAATATTGAAATATTGTTCTCAAGTTTGCTTTTTTTTTTTTTTTTCTTTTTTCCCTGAGAAAGGGGGTTTGATTCAAGTTAGGTAGGAAACTTTACGTGATATAAACGATTACATAAATCATCAATTAAATCGTGATTCAAATTACGATTAAAAACACATTGCTTTTTTTTTTCATCCTGCATACAGCTCTTAGGCAAAACACACCACATTCGGTTTTCACAGACACAGAGACGCATGAAGCACGCGTGACACCAGAATCACGATACTTTTGTCTGCTCCTCAGCGTTACATAGCCGACATTATTTGAAAAGCTATACTTTAAGAGAGGACATACAAAAAAAAAAAAAAAAAAGAATAGAATGGCACAGCCAAGATTATTTGACAGAGTCGCTACAACAACTTCCGCTAGAGTGGTTCCAAGCGGGTATGCTGTCGCTATCGCACACAACACCCTTGCCGGACCCTTTTTACACTCTTAGGCCTCCAGAAAACCATAGAGTGTGTTACACAAAATAGGCCCGATGAAGGGCTGTAGCGACGTGTGTAAGTCGTCGGAGCATCCTTGTAACACCTAAGAGGGTGTAAAAATATCTTCATGTGTGGATTGCCGAAACGAGGAACCGAATTTCATCATCGACTATTTTGCGACAGAATGCAACCCTGAGAACCAAATGCTCAGTCTGCGAGACACTTTGCCGACACATCACGCAAGATGCTAGGGCATTCCGCAAATCCAGATGGCTCCAGTAATTCTCAGTGCTGTGCAGTAACGTCATCGTAGACTTTCAATCAGTCAGTGCAACTGCACAAAAGCCCCGCAATGAAACGGAGTAAATCCGTAAAAATGCAATGCAAAGAAAAAAAAACAAAAAAACAATGGCGGCAATCTCATTTAGCCTCGAACCCGGGCGCCTAAAGGGCCACAGCGACGTCGTTTTCGGAGAAGCCGGCTTCCACGAAGCCTGCATACGCTACGCCAAGCACGTCATCTTTTGAGTGACGGCACTTAACGAGCCACAACCGGCCCATTTTAGGTATCAAAATTAAGAATAGTAATAAAAAAAGAAAAATAATAAACCGCTTGTTTCGGTTTCTTCCTTGTCGCTTGCAGCATCGAGAGAGAGACCGTGGGGCTTGCAAGCTCTTCAGGCAACGTGAGCTTTTAACGGGCACGGCCGCTCCGCGTGTGAAAAAACCTCCTCCCCTTCTAGCAAATCCGACATCTAGAAATGCGTGCGTCTACTCGGCGTTTATAAAGGGCCCGGCATCAGGTGCTACTGCGACAAAACAGCGACAGCAACGCTCGGGGACAGCGAGCTTCCCCCGGTTTCCGCGTCGCGTCGCGACCGTCGCGCCTCGTTTTCTCGTTTTTATACCGAAGTTTTTTTGTTCGTTTAGTTTATTTCCGTGACTGCCTACCACCCCCTATCTCTCTTTCCCCCGTTCCTTTATCACCGCTGCGTCGTCGCGGACTGCTCACTTCTTTTAAACATAATACTCCAGCCGTACGCATCGAGAAGATTCTGAGTACGAGAGTGCATTTCACCGCGTCGTCTGCTACCCAAGTGCGTCGTCTGCAAAACAGAGCATCGTCTGCTAGTCAGAGACTGCCGGCCGCCAAGCCACCGTAGCCTTCTGCCCCGAGCCTCGACTCTACCTTCTGTTCGAACTCTTTCGCCAGCGCGCTATTTATTATTGCTCTTATTTATTAACTTACATACGCAAGAATTCCACTCGCAGTGACGAGACCGAAGACGCATTCTGCAAGCTCCTACGACGAGAAAATGGCACAAACAAGAATACATCGCCACGACCACTCTTCCTCTTCATCATCATCTTGCCATGGAACCTTATCGGAGTGCGTCTTCTGCTGCGTCTTTCTGACTGCCTTCTCAACAGCGGCTATGTTGAACTCTCCGCCCGCCGGGAACGTGCTCAGCAGCCGTACCGGTCAGCAATCATCGCTGTCAGCATGCCAGGACTGCGCTCTTCGGAAACTAATCGAAGACCCCAACAGCGAAGAGTACCGTTACGCCAGGATCGAGTTCATCAAGCAACAGATCCTCAAAAAGCTCCGGCTCAAAGAGCCACCCAACGTTCGAATCCCGAGATCCGTGCTGCCTTCGGTGCTCGCCGATCGGGAGGTTCTGCTGTCCAAGGGTGTTGATGATGATGATGCATTTGCGACGAACTCTCGGACCCGGGACGATTTTTACGGAACTATGCAGACTGCCGTGATCTTTCCACAGAACGGTGAGTGTTTCGAAACTTCTTTTCCGTCGTTGATTGCTCGAAAGAAGATGCCTCCTTAGTGTATAATAATTTTTTATTTTTTTTTTTAAGGAGGGGGGGGGGGTTGGAGAGATGGGCGATAGCAGACGCGTAGTATTACTTCTGCGAACAGGCGAGTGGCTTGTGCTCGCATCATGTAGCTTCTCTTAATGCCAAATTCGGGAAAAAAAAAAAAAAATCTTTTATCATAATTTTGAGTAAAATTACATAGTCTCTATTTTGCGGTTTTGACGAGCAGATATCTGTTAAGGTTCGGGGCGGAAGGTTCGAGGAATAGTCCACGCAAGACCTATGCTTCGCCTATATTTTACGCTGTGGCCGCAAAGTATCACGCCGCTCACGTGCTACACGCACACATAATGTCGGAAATGATCCCTGCACATAATGTATAGCAAAGTCACGGCTGTGAGCTAGAAGTATATTACCTAAATACCTCCTGTCAAGATTTTTCTACACCCGGAAAATTGCGATAAATCCATCCAGTTGAGCTCTACCATTCCATATAAATGACGTCAAAGACAAGGTGTCCGTGTGCAACGCACGCGGTCGTTTACTCGCACAAACCGTCGTTATCAAATAGTTTGATTATAATCTCTGGCAGAAGACGGAGCGGAATTCTCCCAGATAAAACCTCTGACCATGAATCGTTGATTGTAGTTCGGTGGACCGCGTGACAACAACGCTGCCTTCCGCCATCTTTTAGTGAGCCTCACGTCAACCACGGTGCCGAGAACTTGCGTAACGGAGGTGATAACGAGGCGATGATTGCGATGATCGCTTCCTTCGGGGATTAGGGACAACCATATACATTTAATTGCCACAAGCTAATGCAGACACCGCGAGATCGTCCGAGGCTCAACCTTAATTGCTCCAGCGCACCACGATTTTGCTATCAGCATGACCATGCAAGAGCAAGAGACGCGGCGTCGCATTCATCAGTCTTGCACAAACAAAATAACTAGTCACTGTAAAAAAAAAAAAAAAAGTTTTTATGTATACAAATTAACCGAAAGCGTTTGCACAGTTCGTCAAATCGGGAGGACTTCCTCCAACTTTTGTGTGCACAAACTACACTCTCTTCTCGTCGCAGACGCTTCATCGCACGCGATTTACGAGATACAAAATCAATTTCTGCATTGGCAAGAAAAGAAAACCTAAGCGACATGGAGCAAGTGCCGATACTTGATCCACGTCGATTCCGTTTGTGCCGGGCCGGCTTAGCGACAGCATACTTCAACCGTTTATTCGAGGTAATCTGTCCCGTGCACACAATCTCGGATTAGTAAAATGCCTTAAATGTCACGTAGTGTGAAGCTATTGATACAATGAATTAGGCACGTAGCCAGGATTTTAATTTGGGGGAGGGGGGGGGGGGGGGCTTATGGCAAAATCAAGGTATTTTGGCAAAATGCTGCATGAGGGGGAGGGGGAAGGGGAGGCCCCATGCGAAATAAAAGATTTCGAAGGGAGGGAGGGGGGGGGGGATTGCAGGCACGCAGCCAGGGGGGGGGGGGCGCCCATGGGCTCCCCCCCCCCTCCCTTGGCTACATGCCTTCAATGGATAATACCGTTGTAATACCCGGCTGCATCTAATCGGTGGCAATATCGGAGTAAAAGCTAACTCCACGTTATTTTCCTGCATATCACATAAGCAAAGATGGCGACTATTCGCGAAAAAACACTCTGTGCCGACATTTCAGTGGTTGCAAGTTGCGACAGTGAATTAATGCGCGAATAATTCCGCATTTATTAACTAATCACTCGACAAATCATTACGTCCCGTTGAGCTTTGGGTACACAACTCGGATTATTCTCAATTCACGACCGATAAAGACGAATTAAAAGACTAGGCCGCTTTGTCAAAGAAGACGCGTGTTTAGGAGAAAGACGACAGAAGTTCTCAAAGGTTCGGGTACTGATATTATCTGCTACAGAAGAGAAATGAATAACCAAAGCTCCCAATACTTTCTTTTACAACTTACGACAGCCAACACGCATGACGAGGCACATTTTGCGAGAACAAGATGGCGGCTTTCAGTTTATCCTGCTGGAGTGTTCCGCCATTAGGCTTCAAAAACCGTAGCGTCCGCCCAACGCCGCCTGTATCGGTCCGCCTTGACGCTTGCTCTGCAGTCGCAACATTGCCACAGCCACAAGCAGCCTCCACGTACCAGACACCGGCATAATCTTGAGACGGTGAAATAAAATATCCGAAGGAAGTCTAGTTTCCTTACAAGACTTTTCTTTCTGTCTCTCGCTCCAAAAGAAGAGAGGAAGAGAGAGAAGTGATTTATCGGCCAAGTTAAAAGTTGTGAACTGCAAAATATCATGTTACGTTTTTTTCTTTCTTGAGAGGGGGGGGGGGGGGGGGTTGTGCAAGGTTATCACGCATTCCGGTGGAAGTAGCAAAGCCCTTTTCCGGTGCCGGTCAGATTGGCGTAGGGTTCGGCCTCTCTTTCAAGGCCGAGGACAGCGCAGCCAATTAAAGATTCCAGAATACGTTTTTACACAAAGGAGCGGTTTTGACCCGCGGTAGAAATATGGGGCGTCTGAAGCCACCAGGCTCGATCTAAAATGGACCGCAAAAATCGACGCCTGCACGAAGCAATCTAAAATTTTTGTCAATGGTGTATTTCACAAGGCCGTTTTGCAGCGAAGCTGTTTACGGCTAGGGTTCCGTGAATTTTTCGTGTGCGTGACCAAAGACTCTCCGCTCGCACCGCCGCACGCGCAAAGTAAATAACCAAAATAAAGCGTCGACGAACGCGCATGCAAGTTGACATTTGTTTTAGGCTTTTGCTTTAGAACAGTTACTGCTGCAGATGCCGGCACGTGCGGAACACACTTCCCTGCCTTCTCCTTGATGCTTGGGTAATCAAGCATCAGAAAGAAGGCAGGGATGGGTGTTCCACGCGCCGCACGTGCTGGCCTCAGCAGTAGTAACTTTTCTAAAGCAAATACCTAAAGCAAAAGACATCTTGCACGCGCGTTCGTCAACGCTTTATTTTGGTTATTTAATTCGAGTCTTTTATACGGGGAAGGTGTCCGCGTGTGGCGCGTGGAACACCAATCCCTGCATTCTTTTTGGTTCTTGGGTAATATAGCAAATGGTCTATCCAGTAGATTAGTTATCGATGGGGACCATTTTCAAGATCAGTAGACTCTCAGGTAGATAATAAAGGTTTCTCAACGATTTGCCACTACGCGACCCGCCTCGGCCATGTCTACGCTCGCATCGCCCTCTCTTTGTCGTCGTTCCAAGCGCTAGCGTGTTTAGTTCCCTTTCCTCCCGCTCTCCCGAGGTGGCGGGCCCGTCGCGCGTGTCTAGTTTCCTCCGGCTCCTCGGGGCGTGTTTGTGTCATGTGCTAAACAACTTCGCTGATCATCAACCATCACAGAGTGGAGTAGCTCACAATTCTTTTTTCTTCTAAAATTACAAAACGTAACTCCCTTTCTGTAATATAAAAAAAAGGGCTAACAAGAACAAACTTGCCAGGGTCAACGGCGGGCGGCGAAGCAGACGACTGAGTCGAGCGGCGGTGCGCGTTTGGCGCACGTATTGACAGACGGCGCTACTTCCTCAACGAGGCGAGAGTTCCTGTACAGCTACCTACGGGAACTCTAAACGAGGCTGCTCGCAGCGACCATGACCTACTAAAATGAAAATAATCTTTTAGTAGTGTGCCTTTAATTAAAAAAAAAAAAAAATAAAAAAAAAAAAAAAAAACGCGGCAGCATAACGACGGCGTTTCTTGCTGCCGACAGATTTCGTCTGCGTGTCGTCTGCTTTGTTTCGCTAACGGCTACATTTCCGACGCTATCTATCAATACGTGCGCCAAACGCGCCCCGCCTATCATCTGCGTCACCGCACGCCGTTGACCCTGGCAGGTTTTTTGGCCCTATTTTTTACAGGAAGGGAAGCTACGCTTTGTAATTCTACAAGAACAAACAGACTTGTGAAAGACACCTTTGGCGGAAAGTTTAGTTTGCTTCGTGCAGGCGACGAGTTTTACTGTCCATTTTAGAACGAGCCTGGTGACTTCAGACACCCTATAGTTGCATATCCACTCACATTCGATAAACATAAAAAAAAAATTTTACAAACGCACGCAGAAGCTTTCACGAATTAAGTACAAAACGAGCGTGTCGGTAACAGTGATTAAACATGAGGAATATACATAGAAAGGGAAGTCTTCGTTGTCCGTCCCCCCTTTCTATGTATCTTCCTCACGTTTAATTACGCTCACGAATGATTCCCTCTTTTTCTTCACTCAGAATTTCCCACGCTGCGAAAGACTATCCCTGCGGTTTTAGCAACGGAACCTCCGCAACGAAAGACGGGCACGGTAGTTGAAACGAAAGCAGACGACAATATGACAGGTGTAACGTGGCCAGACGAAAAAAGCTAGCGCCACCAACAGTACCCAATTAAAGCGGCGTGCTCATGAAGCAGGAATCCGACAAGAAATGTGACGTTTTATCATTATGGGCATGCATTAAAAGACGCCAAGAAGGGGATTATACCTGCGAACCCGCGAATTTTGTCGGGTGCGCAAATGAACTCCACGGTTTCAATAGTTTCGTCTTGGCTGCTATCAAAGCCGATGTTGAAAGCGTAGCGCGGTGATGTCATTTTGCATGCGTCTCGTAAATAGATTGTCGGTTTCCACACTGCTGAGGATAAGAAACCTCCGTCGCGTAAACACATTAATTACCCCCGAAAGACGAGTACGTCGCAAAATAAAGAGTTAAGCAGTTTCACCTCTGCTTATTTTAAAAGGGCACTTCGCAGTTTTTTTAGCGACCCCAACTACTTTCTTACCCGGCATGCTATTTAGTATATATATAAATACAGAATAGCACTTGAGAAAACGACATATGAAGGTGATGCCAAAAGTTTCTCCGCGCTTCCTAGTGACGTGACGTAACATGGAAAACTAGCAAGTCGAGCAAGTGTAAAAACCAAAGTAGGCTGTACATCTTTGTGTATGTGTGTGGGCGTGTGCACATGAGCTCCAGATATGGGCTTGTGTTCTAGTAGTAGCAATGTGTGCGTGCGTGTGCGCGCGTGTATATATATACATATAAAAATATATACAAGCAGCATTAACCAGTGCGGAAGTGCTGAATAGCCCATGCTATTTGTTCGAGCCATAAAATTCACCCTTCAAATTCTCTTCCCTGCAGACACTCACCAGTGCATGTCCAAGGGCCCGCACCCAGGGAACTGCTTCTCCTTCCGGCTAACGACCGAGATCAGCAGCCGTAGTGTGACGCACGCCGAGCTGTGGGCCTTCAAGTCCTTCGACCCTACCCTGACCAACCACACCTTCGTGGTGTCCGAACTGTCCGTGGACCCCCACCAGAACCACCAGCACCTCCGCAAGCGAATCATCGCCTTCGAGACGGCACCCCACAAGTCTGGTTGGTTCCGCTTCAACCTCACCCAGCTGGTGACCCAGTGGGCCATCCGCCGCAACCGACCCAGAGGACTCGAAATCAGCTGCAAGACATGTCCCTCAGGACAAGACGGCGGCTCCTCGCTCCTCGGCACGCAGGGGGACAAGCAGCCGTTCCTGGTGGTCCGGACGGATCCGCGGGCAGCACCCAGTCGGACCAGACGCAGCGTCGACTGCAACGCTTCCGTCTCCCGCTGTTGCCGGGAGTCCTTCTACGTCTCGTTCCGGGAGATTGGATGGGATGGCTGGATCATCCAGCCTGCGGGCTACTCGGCAAATTTCTGCAAGGGCTCGTGCGTCCACGACATCAGCGTCAACAAGTACCACCACACGACAGTGCTCCAGAGGTACCTGCAGAGCAGGCTTGTCAGCAACGAGACGCTGAACCTCAGCCTGTGCTGCACGCCGTCTCGGCTCTCGTCTATCTCTCTGATCTTTGTAGACCAGGACCAAGTGCTGAAGCAGAAGAGTCTGCCGAACATGGTCGTCGAGGCGTGCGAGTGCGCGTGAGGACATTCCCGTCTGGGTCTTCTCCCCAATGCCCCAACGTCTGCTTGCTCGGGCAACCACTTCAGAGTACGCTTTCTTCCACGACGCCTTGCACCTTGGCGGGGGTAGCGTTTCTGCAAAAACTTGCGCGTCGTCGAGGCGACGGTTGGGAAAACTGTCTCGATGGCCTGGCAGACGGCGAATCAAGAGGTTGTTGAAGCGGACAGAGCGAAGTTGCGCGAAGTTCGACGCTGCCGTCGACTACCAGCAAGATCTCGCGCAGCGCCAAGATGGAATCTCCGGCTTCCGATGAACCTTCCGAGCCAGAGTGTGCCACGGCGTCTTTCTTCCGAGTGCTTGGTGTGTGAAAACAATGAATCTCTTATTTATGTAAGGTACAACTTAGAGCCTATTTATGTACAACGAGCGACTCTTTCTATCCTCGCAAGTCAAAACTCCACGTCCTCTTATTCCGGAGGAAAGGTTTGCTGCTCCGAGGGACCACAAGTCTTCCTTATTTCTTCTTCGAAATAAAATTGAGACAAAACTTTTCAGTCCCCAGTCTGACAAATGAAATGTTTTTGCTTGAAACACTACCTATATCCTATTTCACAGACGAGGTACCCCTCATTGTAAAGCATTCGGGGTATTAAAAAGTAATATTCGTGGAAACTTTTGCTTTGGGTACTTTAGTGGTACTTTTGCAACAGCAGGGTCCTAGCGAGACAAAAAAAAGTGGTGTAGAGCTGCACTCTTCTCCACCGTCTTGAAACACGACTATCTTGAAGTTAGTGCATAGACATTATATCACATTAGGAATGAGGCATTATAATGCCCCACGAGTAACTGCATGTTACCATAACTCTGGATATGAAGACGGCGCCTGGAGAGAGACAGAAACCAACTCCGCAAGGTTTCGCAATCAAATTTATGGTTGTCAGAGCAAAGAAACGGAAAGAAATTCGTCAATACTGCAGTGGTGCGAGCGACATTTGTTAGGACAAAACAGATAATCGTTGCATTAAAAGAACACACAAACATAGAGCTAGATTCCTGATTGAGTTCCAACCCCCCCAAAAAAGAATGCTAAATTTTGCAGCAACTTACGGCATCCACCCATACCGAGCATAGCGACCCCAATCTCACGCAAGCGCGGCATAAAACTGGCACTGACCAGGCAAAAAATGTTCATTCTAATAACTTACTACGTCAATAAAAAAACCCTAACAACTAGACTCGACTCTTGGTACAAGACGGGTTTAACTGCCTTTTGCACTCATTTCGTGTATACATATATATATATATAGCATTAGATGTTGTCGGCACATAAATCCAACCACAGGCCACCCTTCCAAAAACACTCGGAAAGCGCCTGTTAGCGCCCAAACGTTGCTTAAGAAAAAAAAGATGGGGAAAAAGAATGTGTCACTACGCAACTGTCCGAAAGCAGCCCCCCCCAAAACATTGTCCATGAATTCGAGGCTAATAAGGGAATCTCCCAAACTGTACACCGTACACACTCTTGCATATGTACAGACACGTACACGGAACATTCGTACGTGTGCGTAGATGTTCTGCAACCTTCGACATACAGGGGCACAAGGGATAAGGGCATTGGGAGAAGAGTCGACGGCCTGGATGTTGCAACCAAAAGCCCTGACCAAGTCGGCGACTCGCGCGGGAACGTCCGCAGTATTTACATTTGGCCAAACGTGCACGAATGACACGGGTACAGAAGGCCGAGCTTGAGGAACGTTCGCAAGTATGCGTCCTAGCTCGATTTCGGGGGGCGGCCCAATCTTCCGAGTTTTTCCGAAAATAACGCCAGGCTTTCTTCGTGACGACTTGCGCAGATCGACGACACATTAACTCGATCCCATAGAGGTACGCCGATTTCCAACCAAATCCGTATTCCCATGCCCCGAGAATAAAAGGCGGGCGGGGTTAGGGAAGTCAGAGGTCGTTTTAACGTGCGGATCGAAGCCACGGATCCAATCGAGTCCTTCCTTTGGGGCGAGCGTTCGACCACGATGGAAGCGACAATTTTCGTGACGGATCGTCCGGTGATTCGAGTCGAGGTGTAAGCTGCACGGAGGATAAAAAAATGAACAATATTTTTGAAGAAAAAAAAGAAAGCAATTGTTTCCTCATTGCTCTTCCGAAAATAAATAACCTCGCATCTTCGGCACATGCAACGAGCAAACGGGCCTCGCCGGCGCCGAAACTACAGATAACGACGAAGCGACGGACACTGGGCCGAATTACGAGGATGGAAGGAGGGAAGGGAGGGGTTTGTCGGTCAGTTTAATTCCCGGCAGAACGAAACGGTCGGATAGTACGATCACCAAAGTCCCGCGGCACCCGCCTTCTCCGCGTCGACGGGGTTCCCGTGGCTCCTCCGAAACGAAACCCGGGAACCGCGAAGCTACGCTGCCCGAAACGAGCCTCCGACCAGTGCACTTAGCGTCCCACTCACCCCCTGGGTTGAAAGTCGTCCCCACGTGGCGACGAACGACGCCACAAAAGCCGAAGTGTCGCACCGTCGCAATCCAGGCGGTTGGATGCAGAAGTTCCGGAAAAAAATCCCGAAACGAGGCGAGTGTAGCTGTAGTCGTGGCGTCCTGACTTCGTCTGCCGAAGCTTCCGTGGGCTGCCAAGCTGGAGGGCGACTCGCGGCAAACTGGGCGTCTGCCATGCCCACCGCCGTCGCCACGACGCTGCCATGATCGCGACTGGTAGCGGTGCGACACTTTTAAGACGTCGTCGGGCAGAAATCGAGGGACCGCTTTTTGGGACGCGGTAGACAACACATCAATCGGAGATTCATTCCGGGCAGCGTAGCGAAACGGAGGAACGGCCGGCACCGCGCTCGCGACGAACGCCGGGTCTATCCCTTGTTGTCCTCGCCACTGCTCTCGCACTCGGCGGGCACTCCCGGGGACGCCGAGTCCTCGCTCCGGCTGCTGTCTGGGAGGTTGCCCTGCTCCGGGTGCATGAGTAGCCTCGCCTTCTTGGAGCACGGTCCGTCGCTGTCGTCTTCCAGGCTCGTTCCGTCTGCGTAGGACGAGCTGTCGGCGGAGAGCTGCGTGCCGTGGCTACTCCCCGAGGCCGGGGTGGACGACGGGTTGTTCTCCTCGGCCGACTTGAGGGTGGCCACGCGGCAGTCCAGCGCGCTGAACAGCTGCTCGGCGTCCTTGCCGTTAGCCTGTGAGGTACGCAAATGGCGATACTTGTCGGCTGTTTCGTCACGGTCCTCAGACGAACAAGTTCTGCCCCAGGAAACTTTGTTGCCAAAAGCAACACTACCTATTCCAAAAAGAAAAAGAAGGTATTGCTAATATTTTCAGGCAGCTGCACACGGCGTTTCAATTATTCCGAAATGATACGACCCTTAGGTCTGAAGCAAAGATAGTGCGACCAATTGTTCATCTTTTCGACGGGTCCCGGGGGTCTTCATGAAAGAACGGATGCATCCTGCGACTTTCTCCGCGATGGCTTCTCCAAACCCATGTCCATCCGTTAGGCTCTCCGAGCGATACGATTACCATAAAATACCGCGGAAGCGCCCACTCAAACTTTGGAGATAATCGTAAAACAATGGGGGATGGGTGCTTGTCCGGTCATCAATTTTACATATAAATGTACTGTGCATATTTTTTCAGATCTAACAAATTTGGTAACGGCCGCTTAATCTGGAATGGGCGGATGCGCGGTGTTCTGCGGTAGTACTGTAAACAACTGTGTTTTTGCGAAGACCCGATTTTCACGAATCGCCTACAATTTGCCATAATCAAGTCCCACAAACAATCCTGTTAAGACGTAAACACAGTGGAATCTATATTGAGATCCCATCGTGTTGCGAAAATTGGAACCAGTGGATATTTTCAACACTTCAACCTTGACCTAAATTGCGAAATATTGAGCCCGCAAAAAATAAGTCGTTTACAGTACTTGACTCCATAAATTTAATATGATAGTTCTAAAATCAAAGTCCTATGAATTCCAGCTGCCTCGGAACGGCTAGGCATAGACTGGGACATCTGTGGTATCAGTCGATGGTACCCATGAGTGCATGCGGCTGGCGATGCCCTAATATACTCAAACAAGCAGCAAAACACTATCTGTAAGGATCTAGCTCTTTTTTGGCTTACTTTGCAAAAAAACACCGACATTGCAGATCATAAAAAAATAAATAAAGTCCGACTAGCACCCCAACAACTTCAACTCGCCGAGGCAAAACAAACACGCCTAACCTTTCGTCTGCTTTCCTTCACTGCTTTTCTGTCGCTCTCTCTCTCTTTCTTCCTCTCAAACCAGTGACATCAGCATTCAGGATTTGCCGCATTCTGCTCCCATCATATCCTCCCCCCTTTGACCCCAAACGTCTGCAGTCCATAAGGCCAAACTGACAATAAGGTCAATTTGACCTAATGGAGAACTCTCCCCTGGCATCACGAAAAGATTCCAGACAAGGTAATCTAAGGACCATACTTTCGCGCTTGTCGTTTGGGCCGAATGCGCGGGGTTGCATACGGGGTCTGGTAAGACAATTACCTGGATGAGGTAGACTCGGATCCCGTCCGGATCGATGGCCGACGTCCGCACCGTCTTGGAGCTGGGGTGCTCCACCACCATCCCCGACCACACCTTGGTGTTCAGGATCACCCGCAAGCTGCCCTGGGTTCGCATAACTGCACCAAAGACCAAACAAACCGTGTCACCACCTCAGAGTCGGATATGAAGGATGTGTGTCAAACGCCGAATAGACTGAATCCGTCTTCCTGCTCCGTGTGTGGTTGCAAGACATCATCGGTACCACAGCAATCCATTTGTCGTGTAAGTTAGCAACAAAAAAATTTGACATCACACGTAATATTTGCCTAACGCTAAAGTTCATCTGCATAAATGCAGTTACAGCAATAAAGGCCCATTCACACCGTTGCGTTTTACCATGTTACGTCGAAGTACTACCGCAAGGCGCCCGGACATGCATTCTTCATAAATATTGTGCTAAGCTAGTCCCTCAACTGGAGGCTACGCTTCATTCAAAGGACAGGTGTTTCAGTATTTTGCGGTCATATCTGCACTTAAATCTATGCAAGACACTCAGATGTACCGGGTGTCCCAAATAGCGGCCAGGCTCTTTAAATCGACTGCGAAATTCGGTTTCTTAACCTATCGTGCTATGAGTTTGCACAGTGTTGCCCACAGATGGTGCATTTTTTTTGTAAAATTTGCAAAGAACAAATTTACCTGAGGAAAAAGTAAAGAAAGAAAAAGGCTTAACTCCTTTGGAAACGCAGTGACGCCACCGGTCTTCAAACAATAAGGCGCTGTTTCACACGGAAGACAAGAGATGGCACAAGTGGTCACGATGCAAACTGCCGCTAACAAACGAGCATACGGCGCCGAGAGCCGGCGTCATTTGCAGACAATTTTTTCGACTCAAAAGCGGCGCGAGCTCTTTTGGTATCACTTGCCAATGCATTATTTTACCATCCTTACTAAAGAAACACATTGAATGGACACAAAATCAATTAAAAAAATAGTTTGCTGGAATATTTTGACTTTTTTTCTTTTCTTTTTTTTTTTTTTCGGTGTAATCATGTTGTTTGTTTTGCAGGTCCTTGTTGTTACCGCACCTGTTTTTGGTTCTGCGACTGTTGCCACTGCGGAACGTGCGGTGCTTTTGAGTCTAAAAGATTGCCTGCTCATGACGCCGACTCTCGGCGCCGTATGCTCGTTCATTGGCGGCAGTTGGCGTCGCAACCGCTTGCGTCATCTCTTGTGTCCCATGCGAAATGGCGCCGTATTGTTTGAAGACCAGTGGCTTTGCTGCATTTCCATAGGAGTTAAGCCTTTTTCTTTCCTTACTTTTTCCTCAGGTAAGTTCGCTCTTTGCAAATTTTACAAAAAAAAAAAGAAATGCACCATCTGTGGGCAACGCTGCACAAAATCGTAGCACGATAGATTAAGAAGCCGAATTTCGCAGTCGATTTAAAGAGCCTGGCCGCTCCTTGGGTCACCCAGCAGTCAAAGACTACTGCAACAACAAACCTCAAAATTGTTTGCCCACCCTAATTACCGCAATAATTTGCGCACAGTTTACGAACAAGGCGCGCATGTTTCCTTTCTGCTTGAGCAGACTGCTAGACAATTGTCATGCTCTACAAGAAAAAGCTCAGCCATAGTCGAAGCCGCAAAAACGCCGCATGTGTCAGATCCCAGGCACATGAACACCACATTCAGTCTCGCAGTGTGCGCAAAAAAGGTATCTCCGCGTCATCGTCTTCAAGAGTGCGACGATCGGCTAGACGCACATAACCAGTTCGTAAATAGTACGTAATCATTAGAGTGGTTACGGTAAAACCAACGAGGAGGAAAAATTGAGGCGGAGCGCCGAAGGCAAAGCGCGACTCACCCAGCCTCGACTGCAGCACGCCGTCCACCTCCTGGTCGTTGAGCCTGAGGTTGCCTCGCCCCCGCTCCTGCCAGGAACCAGTCACCTTGTCGAAGGTGAACAGCTTGCAGTTGATCTGTGTGCCCAAAACAAAGACCTTCATCGCTCACCCGTACAAACTTCAAGCGACTGGACCAAAATAAAGCCGGTGCAGTCGCAGCCAATTCCTGCCAGTTTGCGCGAGGCTGGTAGCCGAAAAACTGCCGCGACGGGAGACCGCCCCACCTGCGGACGTTCAGGCATTGGTGAGGAGATTGAACTATGAAGAGTGCAAGTCTGTCTGCTTCTTGTGGTGACGTCAGGACGCTCCGATTGACTCTTATTAAAGGATAGTGGATAGACCTGAAGGCAGCTTGCTTTGAGGTCTGCCCACTATCCTTCAATCGGAGCCAATCAGAGCTCAGTGGTCTGGCGTCACCACAACTCGTACAAAAAAACCAGACAAACTTGCGCTCCGTATAGGGGGCACTCTTTCCAGTTTGTTTTCCCCAGAGCACGGTGTTCACTTAACACGAGGCCCGTGGGCTTGACCCTTTACGTAATGTAAAGAGCATCGACAATGAACAGAGTGACACTGGCGGGACGCAACAAGCCGAATCTCCCCCGAAAGCGGTTGTCGGAGGATGCAAGCTCGACCTGCTTTGGCCTTTGTGCCGAGCAGGTGCCCGTCACATGCACGGTGCATCGCTCAGGCGGGCCGGAGTGGTTACACGAGAGAGACCGACCTCGGACGACGGGAGAACTTGGGCCCTGACCAAACGTAGACCGAGTGCCACATCATTGTTGTTGTGCCCTAATGCGTGTGGTTCCTAAAGTTGGCTGCTTGGGGTGCGGCGGGTGGATCTCCTTTCCAACAGAGCCCGGAATGCGTCTCCGGACGGTGCGGTCACTGTGTCCTCGTTCGTGGTGTCTCCATTTCTGGCCGACGACGGCGTCGAAGTGTCACGCCATTGCTACATTCTCCGACATTACGGTCCACGAAAGTTTCGACAGCCACGATTTGGGACGTCGCGACAACAGAGACACTCGTCTGCTCTTACGTTTTGCCGGAACTTCAACGATCGGCAGCCACTTTAAGACAACTCTCGGTGCGTGAATCCACAGAATGTTAAACGTGCCGGTCCAACCAAGACGCTTCCCAGGAACCTTAACGCAAACGGAGCGTGCGGGGCAAACGTACCTGTAGGACGTTGGATTCATTCTCCTCTCCTGTGACCACCGTCACCTCGTTGTACCTCCGCTTCACCTGGCGAGACTGGTACTCCTCCGCGGACTCGGAGAGGCTCTTGGCGCCTTGCCGGCTCGAACCTGAGCGTTCCGCATTGTGGGCGGCGTTAGAATCATTTGCCGACGATCGCGTGGCAGAGTTTACGGCCAACGTGAGGCGCCTCTTCGCGTTTTTGGCATCGACGATGTGACACCACTTAGTACAAGTCCTTTTTTTTCGTTTCTCACACTGAAAATTGAGAAGACAGCGGAAGTACCCTGTCGTAGAGGTTCCTTTGTTCGTTCTGTACGGCGGTCTACAGCACTTCAATCGCATGAAGTGAGAATTTTATTTATATATTTATTCACACATGCTACGTTCTACAGTGAGGAGACGTGGCAGGAGAGTGAAACATACTTGATAAAACGGTACACCAGAACATTTAAAGCAGAAGACAAAAGGCGCCCGTGTTAATTACTATTTTCAGCGTAGCACGACTCTGAGTGAGGAATCGGGCAACGTTGGGTACTGTTATTTTAATTTAAAACCATGTCTCGGTGGGAGATTACAATAAAATGCTAATATATAACTTTAACAGAACACAAAGGGTACCAAACTAATATGGGACAAAAGAATCCAGGTACAACAAAGCCAAATATGGATCGTTCAAATAATAAGACGGATCCAAGTAATAAATAAGGTAGTAAAGTGGAATGAATGCCAAGGTAACAAAGTAAATTGAATATCAAAGAAAGAAGTTGGGTGGCACCAAGGCACCAATGTATAAGGTAGCAGCGGAACAAAGTACTACAGAGGTAGACAGGAATAGGTGCCAAAGTGACACATTACTAACATTTAAAACTGCAGAAGCTACAAGGTGGGAAAGTACCCAGGTGTCTTTGTGCAGAAGTGTAAACAAGACAACATTGAAGTGGAAAGAGGTGCACCTGGGGACGTAAGGTCGGTGGGCTGATCCGACGAAGCCACACTCTGTCCGGCCTGCATCTGCTGGAAGGTAAGCTCCGTGGACGACGGCACAGAAGAGTCTGACGAAACGTCGTCATAGTTCTGGGAACAAGCGAGACCAAAGCACAATGACGGATGGCGCAAGAAAGCAGCCCACAACAAAGAAACTCTCAAGCTACGAGCACGGTGTCGCAGACGGCTGTGCACCGAAACGTTGCAGACATGCACCGATATGCCGAAAAAACCGTCGGGGGATGCACAAAAACGTTGAAGGGCAGGACAATGCACATGAAGATTCTTTTTCAGACCCGGTCCCATTTTCTTCGCACTATGTGCTTCGAGATGTTCACTCTAAGCAGAATTTTTTTGCTGAAGTTTCATGTATTCTTTTTGAGTAATCAATGTTTTGTGACCCCTATTTGAAAATTTACCCCCAGTCTGCTAATTCTTTTTTTTCTTGCCAGCTTCAAAGTTGAAGACTAAAACAGACTGGCATAGTGTTATGAAAGCCTCAAAATTTCCTGAACTTCAAGGTTGGTGTCTAACCTGAATAGACCCTTTTCAAAACTTTGAAATGATGCACAGATCATGTGCGGCTGCACATAATCTGTGCATTATTTCACAATTTCGGAAAGGTGTCCATTTAAGACACCCAAAATTAAAATAGTCATGACCTCTATTCCAGCGATGCTACTAATGTAACCTATATTTAGCAGCAGTGTGCAGCCTTCTAGGAAATATGACACCACCCAAAGTTGCCAGATCAAGATTCGAAGGGAGTCTACTCTAACTGTGATAATCATGTCACGCATCCACTTTCTATGCTGGCTAGGAACGACACAAGTTCCAACTGAGAAGTGACGGATATAAACTTACGGCAGCTCTCTCGTGCAAGTTCTCTCCAAAGACAAATCCGTCTGGTGGCACCGTCGGATGTGGCGAGTGAATCCTAAAATGCAAACATACGAACGAAAGATATGAAAATGAAAATACATATTTTATAACGGCGTCTGTAGCATTCCGTCAAACATTCCTCGGGAATCTCAGTTCTTATTAAACACATTCTGCGTTAAAAAAAAGGGGGGGTGGGGGGTGCAACTTAGTAAAAGTTATCCCTCGGCCCGGGAATCCCAGTTCTTATTAAACACATCCTGTGCTAAAAAAGAGAAGGGGGGGGAGTGCAACTTAGTAAAAGTTATCCCTCGGGTCAAAGTTTTCTTGGTTGGTGGCCCAGCAGCCATTAAAGAAACGAACAAAACAATTTCAGTCGCCTGCCCTTAGTCCGTACGCATCCACAAATGACGCATCAAAATGCGTAGGACAAACACTCACGCGTCGTCCGAAGAGTTGAGGAGTCCCGCCGCGCTGAGTTCTGTCGAAGACGTTCCGTTCCGCAGTTCGCCAACCGGCGGCGCCAGGCCGTGGTTCTCTCGGCTGTTGCTTCTGTTCGTGCCACCGTTGTTGCTCGTGTCGCTTTCTTCCGCCAGCGCTTCGCTCCGCGCGGCCTCTGTTGCTCCCACCATGCCGTTGGTCACGGCCGCCGTGGCCTCGCAAGTCGAGGACACCTCACGGAGGTCCCTCGGATTCGACGGGAGGTCGGCCGCCGAAACGTCGTCCTTTGTCTCCGCCCCCGCGGTGCTGCTGTCTGTTTGTCGTCAACGGGAAGAAAGAAACATTTCAATAAGAAAACAAAAAGAACGGTAAGAAAAGTAAAACATTACAAAATTTCTTGTATGAAAGTCCTGTCACACTGGTCATACTAAAACCGTCTGCAGACAAGTTCAAAACAGACAGACGTGTCAAGCTAACATGCTTCCAACGCGCTTCGGTCATGCCTGCAGATCGTGTCATCGTGCCTGGAGCGAACACTGTGTCTCTTGTACATACTTGTATGCTGAAAGGGGATTTATGCCTGTCGAGGATCGCAAGGTACCTAGGCACACAGGAACAGCTAATGGGCAACTATGTGGACTTCTGGTATGCTTAAGGTAACCTACATTTTATGTTTCAGTTAGTGAAACTGCACATTATAGGCTGATTTTCTAGTAACTTCAAACTGTGGCAAGATGCATTTCTACAAGTACAAGTATGAAAGAGGGCTCTGCATGGTGAATTGATATCATGACACTGCGGTCCGCACACCTCCCAACGCAAACGCTTCGTTTCAAGGAAGTCGCAGAGTGACAATCAAATTGCCGTTGGTTTGACACGTACCAGATAAAGCGTCTATGTAAGAAGCACAGCGAAATTCAAGAGAGAAACGCCTGTCCGATTATGTCTTATTAGGCACATCTTTAGCTGACGGAGAAAGTATACAAAGGCTCAGGACGTGAAGGCCCGTTCACACTTGCAACCGAGGACGGCTGGAAGACGAGATCTGTTAAAACTTCTTAAAATTCCTTAGGACGAGGGAACACACTGGCATTGCGGCGCCATCTATGCGGTGACCCTGGAACTGCATTTCACAAGAGCGAATATTTTGCGGGATTTCCGAGATCAAATGTGCATAATACCCATAAGAAAGGCTCGTTTATAACGTTGACAAAAATGTTTCGAGCCAAGAAAAAAAGGATAATGCGTGAGAGAAATAGAAAATATACCAGACCGCCAAGTTTACACTACTACCCAATAGATGGCACCAGAATCCCTCTGGTTGTAAGAGGTTTTAAGGAACCCAGTTTTAAGAGGTCGCAAGAGTGTGAACGGGCCTTGATTCATTACGTTTGTGCCCCTCATAAATTTTCCCAGTTTTGATGTGACATCAGCCGCGCAACAATCGCGAAAATGTCTCTTAATTATTTACGTACAGAAAAAAAGTTAAGTGTACCGAAAAAAGTACATTGCAAGTAACTGTGCCTGTATCTAGCAGCTTGAAATAATCCCCCACATTTACGATCCGATGGCTCGTAAAACGTGCCACTCACTATGTTGCTGGCGCAACTTCTCACTCGCTAAGAGAAGAGGCTTGGCGACTCAACCCACAGAACTTGCACAATGACTCAGCAACTCTATCGCAAAAGAGAAGGACAGGCAGTGAGGACAGGCAGTGGGGGGACCCACCCAGAGCGGATGAGGACTGTTTCAACTTCTCCGCCTGGAATGCGAGGGCGGACGGCCGCAGGACAATCTTGCTCCCAGATGATGACACGGCGCACGCTCCTTCTGCAAGCGACAGTAAAAATGGGGCGGCAACGTAATTGAGGGGATACTTCCACTAGGGTACATACAATGTGCTTCGAACTGGTAAGTCTACTGCCCCCTCAAAAGTGCTCTCAGGAGTCGGTGGCATAGCCAATAATTTTTTTCTTTTTGGGAGGGGGAGGGGGGCCGAGGTGGGGGGGCTAAAACTTCGTAAGCGCCCCCTCCCCCCCTTCCCCCCGTGCTACGCCCCTGTCAGGAGTAGCTCAGACTAAGCAGAAAGATACCACTGAAAGTGGCCAGCCTCTTCACAACACTGGCTTGCGCCTTTGGCCTTCCAAGATTAAGCGAGTCGTGCAAGTAGGTGAACAACACGACTCTTCTAAGGTAAGTCGTAACAACATTTTTGGGTGAACAAATTTGAATTTATAGATTCGTTCGACGACGAATTGAGCTATGGGACACAGAATAAAAGGTACGTACCGGCACCAAGGACTAACGTTGGCGGCGCCACGATCGGCTTCGACTCTGCAAGATGAGAAGGGTACACAAAGTCGCGGTTATTCCTTCGCTCTTTTCGAGCCCCAGTCCCACGGTGCCCCGCTTGTCGTCGCCACAATCATCGATGTCCCGGCCAACATCATCATCATCAATGCACCGAGATGAGTGTGTGCTGCACCTTTGTTTTCCGTGCTGTCCGCCACGCTCCTCGTCGGGGTGGTGGTCTTGATGGCAAAGGGGTTCTGCTGGATACGTGCCATGCCCACTAGTCCGGCTGCAGTTGAAACCAACGGTAAACACACTCCGTCTCCACGAAGCTGAACGAGGACGCTTTCAGCGCGTCTTGCTTTGTCCCAGCTTGAGTGAAAATTGATTGTGAAAGGGTGCAAGCCAGAAGCTCTCTTTTACACAGAGCCTACTCGCAAACAGCTGCGCAACAAAGCGACATCATGTGCCACCGATGGATTGCAAAGCGTCCCAGATTCAACAGCTGGATTGTTTGTGGATTCTGGAAGCCATTCCCCGCCAGACTTCTCGCGTCGCAGACAGCTGTTGTCATTATGCTCCAGCTAGCCTCGCCAACTGAAAAGGCATGCATGCCTTCTGTCGGACCAAGGCATGATCCTGTGGCTTCTCACCATACTCGGCTCTCTGTCGTGCCGCTAGTACTAGAGTCACTCAATAGTACTGCCCCTCAGGCCCTATTCTGAACTGGATCTTGAACCTAGATAAATGGTACTGGCAGTACCCTTTGTAAGCGTACAAGGCTGTGAGGAAGTGCACATAAAATGATCCGGCATAAGCCTGTACAAACTGAGGCAGCAGGCAACCCTGGCTATGCTGCACGTAACTTGAGAGCACAGAAGCCATGTATGCGAGATGTGCAGATAAAGAGGAAGACACTCACTGCCTGCTGAAGACAGACAAGAGCTGGAGACTAACGCAGCCTCTCCATTGCCTGGGTTCTCTCCTGCTGCGATTGAGAAAATTTAATATCGTAAGAATGATTTCGAATGTAGGCCATGAAAAAATCTCCGGGGCATTCGACAACAGCCCAATGCCTCCTCGGTTCAGCACACGCGCCAATCGTGCAGTGCTTTGATCAAAGCAATCAGTCACTCAATCAACCCAGTTTTTTAAAAAAAAACTTAATGTTTCGTTGGAGCTTTTAATAAAGATTTTAATTATGATGTCCTAGCTTGTTTTGTTATGCTTGATAACTATGTGCTATTAATTTAATATTTGCCTGGGTTCTCTTTTCTATGCCATTTTGCCGGCAGCTTTGTAGGGCATTTCACAATGGTGTAAAGGTGTACTTCTCTTGAGAACCAAAACTTTTGGTATGCAAAAGGTGCAGAAAAAGTATTACATTAACTATGCACTAAATGTGTCCAATACAAAACAGCAAAAAAAAAAAAGTGAGCATTTGAAGTTGTAACAATCTAAAATTTATAATAGCAGTGAGAAAAACATGCTCTTCGCAGTCTTGTTGGAAAACTCAAACGCGCTTTTGTAGCAAGAATTAGGTAACCAATAGACAAACACGAATTAACCAAGCAATATGCAATGTCGTCGTTCAACGTTCTATGAAACCGTAATCGATTGAAGCAGTAGCTTATGGGCCGCTCTCCGCTCATTTCAAGGAACAGACCCCCCAGGCCCCCCTGCGCGCTGTAACATAAAACCGCACAATCGCCCGACAGTCTCCAAGCGCCGCACGCCTAGCGTGTCATTGCCGCAATATATAACAAACAAAAAAACGTCGGTGCATTTGCTGACCTTACAAATTTCGTCACCGCGACGCAGAGCAAACCACCAAGACGCCCCATCGAACCACAACCTATGTTGGCGGGCAAAGTGTAATGTAAACACGCTGGGTGATACGGTGGGGCGAAAGTGTGTCGCACACCTCGAAAACGTATCGGCGGTGAGAAACTTCCAGTGCTCGCAGCGGTAGCATTTATAGGATCGAAACTGCGAATTCTCGCGGTGGGGTGGGAACCAGTTTAACCGCGAAAACCTCTCGTGGGACCTCATGGTATTGGATTGTTCTTCGTAAGAGACCAGCGCGTCAGCGCCGTGCTTGTGTGGACGCTTTTTTTGGTGTCCGACGTAACTTTCGCGCGGTGTTGGGTGTAAGCAGTACGGCGCGATTTTCTTTTCTTTCTTCTTTTCGCTTCTCGTCAACTTTGTTTGGTCCCGACGCCAGGTCCACCGCTGACGTTTGTGTCAACGCGTACGAAATGCTGAGTGATAATCATTGTTTACCGATGTTCACATCTCCGAAATCATTTCGAAACAGCATGGGACTCGCATCGTGTCTAGTCGATCGATACCACGTAATTAAGCTGCCAGTGCGGCGACGGATATTGCAGGGAGCTAACGGAGCGCCCGAGTTGGCCCCGTTTAGCCCGACTGAAAGGGAGAACGGCTGTCCTTTCTTTCGTACCATATCCAAAAACCTCACCTTTCTCCGCCATTTTGAGAGCTCCTATCTTTTTTCCGTTCGTTTTGCTTTCCACCAGAAGGCGCTGACTCGGGAGTCAGCACTCTGTCGAGGCGTCAGACAACTGGATCTACGTTTAAATTAGTTAAAGGCAGTGTCTGCGTCGACCCGGTCTACGCAACGCCCAGCGTTAGGTAGACCCAGAATTCTGATTGGCTATTAAGAAAAAGTCACGTGTCTATATAAATTGAGTGAATTATTTTGTTAAGTTTATTTATATAAGTTTTAAATTAGTAGAAATGAAATTATATTAGATATATTGAATGCATTCTGAGATAAATATTATATGCAATGTCACGTGTTACATTTGATGAGAAGCGGGAGAGTCCCTTCGTTTCCCGCGTTTTGACCGTTGTTTACCTTTTCGGCTCCTGGTGTTCCTGCAACCTTCGCAAGTCCACCTCCATTTGTCGTGAATCCCCGTTTCTGAGCGTTGATTTTCCCTTCTTGGTGTCTTGTTGATTTTTTTACGTATGTATTTCTTTCGCGAGATTCCGATTGCCTGTGTATTTAGCCCAAAACTCGGTGTACCACGTGCTTTGATATCTGGGGGTTCCGTGACTGGGGCAACTGGGGTTTCTTGTGGAAAGACCTTCGGCATTTTCCTATTGAAACCAGACGTGGCTGTCGAGATTCAGTCGATTCGTTCTTTTTGCGGCGATTAAGCGTCTGTTCGTCATGACTGCTGGATTGACGGTCGTCCTCCCGAGGCAGAGCAGCCCGCGGTGGACGTGCCGAGGTTGACCGGGAGGCCAACACTTTCTGCAGGAGCCACAAGGCAGGCCATGGTTTCATCGAAAGCCGGGAGTGGAGCGGGATGCTGAAGGATAGCGGCGCTCACTTCAGTGAGGTCAGTCGATATGTTGAAGTTTATTTCTTCATCTGTCATTTGATTACTGCAGCACACCAGCCTCGTTCTGAAAATAAGGATGCAGGGGTAAACGTTTGGCAAGCAGAGGCAGTTTGTGTGCTATATGGATCAACATGAAATATTTGCAGTGGTATGCTCATAGGTTTAGCCTCTTGTCCAGTTAAGACCATAACATGCTCTGCATGCTGACATTGTTGTTATATCTTTCTTATGTTGACAGCTATTTTGCTTAACATACTCTTTGTGCCATCCCTACGAAAGCCCCAACAGAAGGGTGGGCCAGGTAATGGGCGAAGTCACATAGATCACTTTCCCCAAGCCCTTAATCTAATGACTAACAAGCCTACCTTCACAATTTTGTGCTCGAACCACAGTTTGCTCTTGCAACAGCGGCCACGGGGCAACCGTTGCCAACTGCACCACCTTAAAGCCCCTTTATGTTTCAAAAGCGCAAGGTGCGCCGATGCACGAGGTACGTGCTACGTGTAGCCCTTGGGAAGATCATGGCAGCACAGCGCAGCACTGAGCTAAATTTCAGCCGCCATGTTCTTCCCAGAAGGTGGTGCGCGGCACAAGTCTCGAGCATTTCCACAACAATGAATGGTGCCGCTTTTCCCAGGATAGAGGGGCTTTACACCAGCTACGAGCCATCGGAGCCAATCCAAGGCCCTGTGAGTGTTAAGGCTGATCCACACATACAGCGGAGTGCTCAGTTAGCGCTTCATGAGCGCTGGAAGCAGCGCTCGGTTGTTGCTTTAGCAGCGCAGTGCAAGCGCGCTCCTTGTGCCGTGCTTGCTGCTGCGAAGCAACGCATGCATGGCGATTCCGTTGTTATTTTTCCTTTGGCATTGAAAGAAGAGGAAGTAAAAGAGCCGCTCTCCAAGCAAAGGGTCGGGAAAACGATTCAGAGTCATGGACTGTGAGCAACTAAGTGATTGGGTACGACCTTATCACTTTCTATTCAACATGCGTGATCCTGGTTTCAGAGACACGCAGTTAAAAAATAATCACCTTCTAAAGAGCTCTGTGTCCCGGTCCCTCGGCCTGGGAACGAGGTTCACCGGATACCCGTCGATATCTCGGTGGCGAAAGATTTCGTGCACTCAGAAGGCTCTTCTGGGTGTTAAGTCGTCCACACACATATGCACTAATTGCGTATGTAAGGGCATTTGTCGCCTTTCTGTTTCAGCATCCCACATGTCCGTCATGGTACTGTTGCACACCCAACCACAGGAACCTAACATCAGTACACATGCTAATCTGCAGCAGTAACGGTCGTACAAGGAGCGCTACTAAAGCGCTGATTGCGCGCTATATTAGAACTAAGTCACGCGCAAGGAAGCACCACATGAGCGCTCTTTGGAGCACTCACATAGCGCTAACTTAACGCTCCGCTGTATGTGTGACCAGGCCTTTACTTGACCTTGAAGAGGGTGACATGCGTAGAGCATATCAAGTGCTACGTTCGCAGGGCTGGGTTGGCTGAGGCAGCTTGGAGCATCCGCTGCGGTGGGACGTGATGTGAAACAGAATGTAGACCTGTTGCAAAAATACACATTGATGCTATAGTTGTTCAAATAGGGGAAGTACTCTCACTGTCAGTGGACGATTTTGCAAATGTGGGTGCTACCAGTAAGCACTGTAGAGAATGGACCCTTTTCCTGTTTTCCGGTTCGAGAGTACAAAATGCATGTGTTGCTAGGCTAGGTGGGAACAGGGCTGCCATTTTGCTTGAAGCAAGGGCACTGTGCGATTCCCAGTGGCAATGCCAAAGCGCTGTGTTGCGTTCAGATGACGGCATCAACACCAGCCGGGGGAGGGGACGAGTTTTTTTTTTGGTTTTCTTCCGAGAAATTGAATCTTGATGGAAGAGCGGCGTGAATTCGCACGGTTATAATGTACTAGATTCTAGTACACCGTAGCACGGTGAAGGGGATTGACTTGTCAGGCCCTACAAAGGCTGGGGAGGCAAATAAGCGTACCTGACTACTGTAAACAACTTAATTGTTCGCAAATTTCTTGACTTAAAAATTTCTGCAAAAAACGCATCCCATCAATATATGGTAAAGAATATATAGCTCACCACTCCTCGCAAAATTTTCTGCGCATGAAATATTCTCCAAATTTGCGAAATATTGAGGCCGCAAAAATAAAGTTGTTCACAGTATGTGGAGCTAACTAGTCGTGGTTCAATAACATTAACGGCACTTTAGAAAAGCACTTCAGAAAGTTGCAGAATTGTTACAATGATGCTTCATAAGACAAGAAAAGCATAGGTATAGACCCTTTCAGGCAACATTGCATGGGCACCGGCATATTGACGTCACGTGACCCTGCCGCCATAGCCGACCTTCAGTTTCTCACCGTTCCCCCGCGTTGTGTGCTGCACAGGTCACTACCGGAGCTTTGTTTTCATGTTTTTTCACGTTCCGTGTTGAAACTGTGTGTCTTTTCAACATTGAAATTGTGTGTCTTTTCGATATTTCGGGCTTTTGTTTAATCATTTGATATCTATATTTCAACACAGCTCTTGTATTTTTGTATTTATGAAATGGAATCGGACAGCGAATGGATCGACGATAAAAGATTATGATTTCAGAGACCATATAAGTTCATCCCGTTCTGGCGTTTTTCTCGCTAATAAAGGGCAGTCTACACCATTGCGACATATGCAAATTTCAACTGACGCAGTAAGGCTATCCAGTCGTGCTTCCCGCTGCATGTGCACACTTGTTTCTGTAAAGATGACCAGCATGTAAGCGATTTAGCTTGTGACGAGACGAGCGGTGGCGACAACGACAAGAGTCAGCGGCGAGCGACGGAGATTTCTTACTGTCGCTTGTCGTGTTACTCAGTTTTTGGGTTTCTAGAAAACGTCGCTCACCGTCCTGGTCGCTTGCTTCGTCGTTTCCGTGCGGTTCGTCTCGTCACACGACTGACCCAGTGACAGCGAAGCGGGTCACCGTCGCTTGTCTCGTTGCTTGCCAAATCGCTTGCATGCAGTTTATACTTAAAATCGAGGCACCAATGGTTCAACGTTGTGTGCTTGTAAATTAATTGAGTATAAACCACATGTAAGCGCTTTGGCGAGCAACGGCGATCTGCTTCGCTGTCGCTCGGTCAGTCGCACGACGAGGCAAACCGCATGGAAGCGACGGCGAAGCAACCAAGACGGTGAGCGACGTTTTCTAAAAATCCCGAAAACCGAGCGATGCAACGGGCAACCGTGAGAAATCTCCGTCACTCGTCTCGTCGCACGCTAAATCGTTTACATGCGGGTCGGCTTTACGGAAACGAGAGGAAACAAACATAGTTGGAATGCTACCCGGTCGAAGTCTTCTCGCTTGACCGCTTGTGTCAAAGCAGTCATCTTCGAAGTGCGTTGAACAAGAAACGTCAGTATTCTTGCGCAACCAACCATCCCCCCGCCGAACAGCATGCTCCCTCGCAGCATGCAAAGTATTGTCTTTAGGAAACCGGCAACGTGCAAAGATGTTTAATGTTTTATTTTTCCATTAAAGTGCATTTAATCATCTAGCTTTCTCCCGTGAGCTTGTTTGTTTGTTTATTGTGGGGTGTCGGGAAGGGGGGGGGGGGGGGGGGGGAAGCTAGGAGAAATGTGGGCCTCCGTACAGGGGCAAGTCGCTACCTAGCTTTTGGGGAATGGGAGGAATAGAGAGGAAAGAAAGAGAGAAAAAGAAAAGAAAGAATGATTGAGGCGTTTGAACGGGGCGTTGAATCGTTAGCTGACAGACGAGTAGCGTGACTCTGAATAGCCCCATTTAAACGGGCATCCATACTTTGTGGAGGAATCAGATCTGGCACAATTGATTAGTGCGTAAATACGCTAGAGCCGGCTTGCAAGTCCACTTTCGCGCAGATAAGCCAGGAGAGCACGAAAGGCCTTCTCGGCTACTCCTTGAGTCCCGTTTGGATTTAGAAGGTCTTCAAGATTGGAGTGGGAGAGGCCGGCCGTCGCATACCGCTGAATCAGAAGCTTCCGATGCTGGTCGTGGCTTGGGCATAGAAGAGCGTGTGCTGTGTCTTCAGGGTCACTGCAAGATGGACAGTATGGGTCTGACTTGCGATCGTACATGTGAAGGCGTTTGGAAGTATACGCACATCCAGCTCGAAGCCTGTGCAGCAAGGATCTCCCGTGAGCCTGCTCACTTGCAGTAGTAAGCTATTGGCCTCGGGATCGACCTAGAGGTGGCGCTGCTGTCGTGCTA